CCGCGCCGCGCCCACTTCCCGCCCGGAGCCCGGGCTCGTCGGCGCCCGGCCGGCCTCCCTTCCCGTCACCCCCCGGGCGGCTCTGCCCCGGGAGGGCCCTGGTGGCTCCTTTGCGTCCCGGGCCGGTCAGACCGGCTGGGCAGCCCTTCCTGGCCCGCCCGGCTGAGTCACAGCGCTGGCCCCACCCTCCCGCGCCTGTTTGGGATCATGGCTGGCTTCAGGTCGCTCCCCCAATGCACACACCCCTATCCCACTCCCACTCCAGTGATGCCCATTTTACACGTGGAAACTGAGGCTCAGAGGAGCCGCAATCGTTCGGGCTAAGGAGTGAAAGGGGTGTCAGCTGTGGTTGTCATGACCTGGTGAGCACCTGGATGAAAAGACTCTAGGATGAAGGTTGGGAATCCACTTCTTTCTAGAGGATAGGGAGAGGCAGCAGGGGATGGTGAAAGAGCACTGCCTGGGGCACCAGGGCCTGTCCTTCACCTGCCGTGTGACCTCAGGCAAATCTCTCCCTCTCTGCCCTGGCCAGAGCAAGGTGTTTTACCTCTCTGTCTTGGGGATCTCTGTTCCTTCACCGGAATATCAGAGGTAATAGTTCCCGTCCTCTAAGGTCGTGGTGAGATAAAATGAGATAAGACAATGCTTTGAAAAAGCTCTAGAGTGCCTTTACAGTGTGTAGACGTACCAGGAGCACATAATAAGAGCTTTCCTAATCCTGGCTCTTGGTTACTGAGGTCCTTTAGAGTGCCAGGACGGACCTTGACCTCCCTTGTTCCATCCTTAGTATTAGAAGTGGACTTGCTCAGGAGTGCCCAGCTGGAAGTGGTGGAGTAGGCGGAAGCCCATATTCCCACCCAGGTCTCCGTGCCCATGTTCTTCAGTGTGCTCCTGTTGTGGCCACCTCCTTGGACTCTTTCAGTCCTCAGAGCAGGCCTCTGGGAGGCATGGGGTATCTGGGCGATATCTGTCTACAGTGTGCACCCTCCATCCCCAGAGTTCAGTGCTCTGGAGAGCAGGGGCTGGCTTGATGGTACTCAGTCAGGGCCAGGCACACCAGGTGCCCAATGAATGCATGCCTCTCTGAACACCCGTATCAGTGCCTTCTGTGTGCCTTGTGTGACAGGCACCTGTGTCAGCACACACAGAGCTCTGGAGTGTTAATGGACAAATTAACACCGAAAGAGGGAGTGGAGCCATCTGGAACCAATTTGGAAGCCCCCTGCGGCGTTGGCAGGCTACCGCAGTCAGGCAGGCCTGTCTGGTAACCCTTCAGCAGACATGTTTCTCGGTTATCTGCTGTCCGAAGGGGCACAATGCACAGGGATGAAAAACTTAAAGAAGGCAAATAAAGACAATTCCTCATATCATCTGGCTGGTGCCTTCCTAGGCCGTCATTCAAATGTTGATGCCCATGGGGACAGCTTTTTAGTAGGGGAATTGGTAGAACTCATCCATGTTGTAAATGATCAAACATTTGTATTTGTGACCCAGCAATTCCATTTCTAGGTCTTTACCCTACACACCAAAGAGTGCATGTGCTTAATGATGTTTGTGGACTGAGCTGTTCCTAATAGCATGCGACAGCATCAAAGTGACGACCAAGAGTGGGGAGCCAGGGGAAAGGTTTGCTTTTTGTTTTACACAAGGCTGTATTGTTGGAGTCTTACAGTGAGCATTTATTCATCTCTTGCTTTTGTTAGAAAGGAAGGAAGAAAGGAAGGAGGAAAGGGAAGGAGGAGGGAGGGAAGAAGGAAAAAAGAAAGAATTAAAAGGTCCCCTCATCACCACTACCCTATCCCCACTGCACCAACGACTTTATGATGACAGAGACCACTTCCCAGGGGCTGCCCTAGAGAGCGCATGTGGTCCCTGCAAAGCCGATTTCAAATCTCGTGTGTGTATATGCACGTGGCTTCTTAATCAGTCATTGTCAGGCAGTCCCCTTGACACTGAGCCCATCTTGGCCTTCTGGAATCAGATTAGGGACCAGGCCTTTTTAATGTTTCTGCTTTCAGATGCATGGATGAGGATTCTCTCTTTTTATCCTTGGAACGATGCTGAGAGTTGAAGATTATTACCCCATTTTACAGATGAGAAAATTGAGGCCAGAAAGGTAAAGGGCTCTTCAAAGGTCATACAGGGTGTATCAGTGATAGAGCTGAGACTTGAATCAGGCCTGTCTAACTGTGAAGGCTGCCCCTGACTTCTGAGTGTGGTGGGGGTCGGTGGGGAGCCATGGGCCCCAGGGAGTGGGCCTGTTTCTGGGGCCTCTGAGGAGGGAGAACTGCTCACCTGTGTCTCCCCACGGCCCAGACTTTGGATCCTGAAGTTATTGCTGTTTCTCTTCCTTATTGCCAAGTGGCCAAAGTCCATTAGTCTGAGCCACCTGGTGTCCCTTGCCTCTGCCCCACCCTTCCACACACTGGCCTGAGGTTTCAGAAAGAATCCCAGGCCAGAGCTCTAGTCATCTGTCCTTCACCAATTCCTTGTGACATGCCGACAGCTCACTGCCATTTCCTAGGCCTCAGTTTCCCCATCTGTCACATGGAGATAATGATTGACTTCCTGCTTCCCAGATTTCTGAGGCATAACCAGCTTGAGAGATATCAGAGTGGGTTGAAACCTAGCTAGAGAAATACGAATAGTAATTCTCCCTCTTCCTGGAATATTTAACAACCAGGTGTGGCACTAAACTGAAGGCTGGGTCTTACCAGGGCATGGTCTCCCCACTGGGTTGCTCAGCTCGTGATGGGGATTCAGGCTCTGTCCCTGTGTAATCCTCCCCACCCCATTAAAAAAGCTTCCCTCACCCCCGATTTTAAGAATAGTTCCTCCATGTAAATAAAACAATCATGCACAGACCTTACCATATTCTAATTTATATATATACACATATGCACATACAAAACTGAAAGCTAACTGATAATGCTTATCTGAGAAGAGGAGGCAGTTAAAGGGGACTTTTGCATATTTATAATTATAAATTTTAGATGGTATGAATAGGGGTATTTGTATTTTTTCCATCTTTTACATTTCTAAGAAAAAAGCTCATTGTAGAAAATTTGAGGGGAAAACCAGAAAGTATAAAGAATAAATCAGAACTACCCATAGTCCTCTCTACCTGCACGGACAGCTGCTATTCACATTTGAAGGGTTTTTCCTGTGCATCTATCATTTTATCCTTCTTGAAACTCTTGCCACCTGGCTCTACTCTGCCACCTCTTCTCATCACCTTATCTGTTTCCGTCCCTGTCACCCCCTCTATCCATCAAGGACTTGAGTTTCTGGATTTCTGTCAGGCAATCTGTGGTAATGTCCTGCTCATCCCTGTGAATGACCCTCTAATAACCTTCCTTGACCTCCTCAGTGACCTTCACCATGACCCTAGTCATCTTCTCATGGGCCATGCATTGAACAACCCCCTCCAAAATCCCAACCTCAAGTGTTCCACCAAGGCCTCTCCTATAGTATGCCCATCTCCTGACGCCCACTGCCTCATCCTCTGACTTCCCAGAGGCCACTGGGCCAATCTGTTTTCTGTTGTTCAGTTAGCCCCATCCTGGCCTCTTTACCACCAAGCCTACACCACAAGATTGAGAATCTGAAGGCCGGCTTAGTTGTCCAGGTGAGGGATGAGAAGTGTAGGGGACTTGGACTTGGACCAGGATGGTGGCTATGGAGATGGAGATGAGGGGAGGTTTGAGATGTGTGATTTGTATACATGTTAAAATTTTAAAAACACAATTCTAAATCCATTCACCTCCTTACTCTTCCCAGTCTCTCCTCCAGCTCCATATGGACCCCACTCAAGCCCTCATCCCCCGCTTTCTGCTAAGTCTTTCCCATCAGCCTATAAACATGCCCAAGTCTCTTCTATCCTACAAAAACACACCCTCCCATTGCTCCCTTTACATTTTTAGTTACTCCTTTTTCACTTCCTTTTCATTCCCTTCCAAACTTCTGGAGTATATCATCCTTACATGCTGTCTCCATCTTCTCAACTCCCATCTCCTCCTCAGTCCACAACAATGTGGTTCAGCCCTCCTCCGGAAGAGCCCTTGTCTAAGTCACCTGTGACTTCTAACTCTGCTGGATTCAGTGAAAGCATTTCGGTCTATAACATTATTATTAGCCACTCCCCCTGCACTCCCATATCACACCTCTTTCCTAGCTCTCCTCCTATCACCTTGGTAGTTCCTTCTCAATCTTCTTTGTGGGCTTTTTGTCATCAGCGCAACCTTTCAATATTGTACTCCTTTGCATCCTTTCTGTTTCCTTTATTGTTCCAAGTGGTTGGTTCATGTACTCTCACGGCTCCCCTTTTACAGGATGATTTTCAAATCACTGCCCCTAGATTAGACAGCTACCCTGAGCATCAGACTCAAATATCCAATGACCTTACTTCTTTACCTGCATGTCCCACAGTCAACTCGAGCTCAACATATATAAACCGATTGCTTCATCTTTTCCTCCAATCTGCTTCTGGTGTATTTTCTGTCTCAGTTGGTGGCATCATGATGTACCCAAGCCAAAACCTGGGGCTCATTCTTTACTCTTCCCTCTCTTTCTATATAAAGTCAGTTATCAAGTCCTGCCAATTTACATCATAAACATTTCTGTAACAAGAGCCTTCCTCTGTCCCTGCTACTATCTCCCTTGTTCATGTAGCATCCTTTGCTCCTCCTCAATCATTTTTCCACACTACTGAGTAATCTTCCTAAAGTGTAAATTGGATCATGTCACTCTTCAACCTAACATCTGTAACATGAAAAAAAGAATGAAAGACAGAAAGATGTGGAAAGATATCCCAGGTTCATGGATTGTAAGGCTCAGTATTGATAGGATGACAATCCTTCTCAAATTGATCTACAAATTCAATGCAAACCTTAATAAAATCCAAGGCGCTTTTC